TATATATATATATTTATTTATTTATTTATTTATGTATTAGGCCAGTTTTAGGAATCAAGACTTGTCCGTGGTAGGCAATTCTTATGTGCGCCACTGTGCACGTGAAATGGAGTGTCGCGTAACACGCGAACGAATCTGAATCCGAAGTTGTGCAGCACTCGAGAACTCAGTTTGATTTGTCGGCCTGGTATAGTGGTACCGGCTGCGACGCAGGTACTATTCTGCTGAGATTGGACTAGTACCGCCCAAACTGTGAGATGGCATGAAACTTGCAGCGCCATTGGAGTGTCCTTTCAAAGTTCTTGGAGGAAGGGTACTTGAGTGTAGTTAACCGCCATCGGCTTCTTCCCGCCAAAAGGTCGGAGCTATTGTACGCAAAATCTGGCTGATTAACCGAGTTGATGTCTCACTCACTCTATGACAGTAGGATCCACCAATCCACTGTGCCAGTAGTCGATATTTCGTATCCTGGTTAGCAGCTACAGCGCTCGATAAGTGTACAAGACAAGCTGTATGCTCATTCAGTTCACCACGGCCTGGGTTAACGGTAGCCATAGGCTTCCAAAAGGATCAGCGATTGCTGAGGCATATAGTGGTGTAGTGAAGATCTGAGTATATAATCAAACGTATCATTTTAGTCTCTGCAGCCATACAATGGAGTCAACGTCTGGTTGTATGAGCTACCAGTACGCACGAGATAAGCAACGTACGAACTAGTAACTCTGGTGAATAGTTAGTCGTGAATATCAGTTAGTTACTAGGTGGTCAAAGGTACTTGTTCATACATGTATTGGCAGTATCGATTTGCTGGAAATGCACATCCTGAGTCCCATTGGCAGGTTCTACAGCTTTTGTGAAGCATAATGTACAGTTGAAATTTAGATGCTTTCGCTATCCTGGGCAATGTTGGTAAATGATCCTATAGTCGTTCATCCTCTGCTACGTGCCTATACAGACACAAAGGTTTGGCTCAAAATAAATTAAATGAATATTATAACTATGTTACAGCGCAAGAGTTTACACGTTGGTAGGCATAGGAATTTACCAAATAGGGCGAAAGTGTGGATACACATCACACCACCTCGCTCAATTCTCTTTTAATATTTCCATGACAAGCGAATTGTCGGATACTCGAGGAAACGAATCCTAATACATTGCCCTGCTGGTAATTGATATTTCAACACACAGGTGCAGATTGACAGTCCGGTACATATGTCCTTGAACCCTGAAGTAACATTGTGGACAGCTATTAATAATATAACGCAAATTTGACAAACCACAGATAGGCAAGCATTGGTATATCTGATTAGACAAGTGCTAGTCAATGGTTTACTCAGTTCAAAGCTATGACTATTTGACCAATTCTGCGAACCGAAAATAGGATCCGGCAGTAGCAGTAGTCAATATATGTGTATAGAAGCGCATTGGAACAGAAATACATGCAGTAAATGCACGTTAGCATATATATGTATCCAATACATACTCAGATATGTATAGAATACACGCACATTGGCACAGAAACGCATGCAATACTTGCACGTTAGCTGTATACAATAGATGCACGTTGGCACAGATATGTATACAGATACAGAACAAGTTCTTCATGTCAACTAATCTTTTATTCAGTTACTCCTTGTAGATGTATTTCAAGGGGTGAAGTACTAATACTGAGAGATTATTGCTGTCAGTGGCTTATCATAGGCAGACTAGTTAGTTCCTGGAGTCAGCAAGGTAACAGTAGGCGGAGCACACATGTGCATGTGTATTTTAGTGGGGGCGCATGTGTACATTACGAGGTACAGGTGCACATGGGCCTGGGCAGTTGGGACCGACACGTGTGGACTGGTCCTAATAGTACTCGGGTGAATCAGGGGTTGGTGGCCGAAATCAGGAGACGGTGGCAGGGGGTTAACAGCAGGGAGAAAGTCATGGTAGAGCAGACAGAGTCGGGGCGTGTGATAGTGCATATCTACAAGTTAATCGATACACGTCTGAGCGAAATTGAAGGTTAGAAACCGATGCACGTCTTGGGAGCGTGTTAGGTCGCGGAAAGCCGACATCAACAGCTGAATCGAGTCATGCTTGAGTTTCCATATGGTCAAGAGTTTCTGGAGGGAAGTTGTGAATTCGGCGAAATGGTAACAGCGGCGTAATTGTTTCAAGATCCCTGGTTAGTTAGTGATACGATTGGAGTGGGCAGCAAAGAAATCTTCGTCGTCCTCAGTATCCCGGCTAGATCTAGAATGCCCGTGTTGTGTACATAGACATCTTCATTTAGTATAGGCACAGTTTATGCCGTATTGAAAACGAACAGAATGCGAATATAAACCACAGGCGTCCATGTTTAGTCATCATCGAGGAGAATTCAGCCTCGTTAAAGACAAAGGGGGCAAAAAAAGTTGTTGTGACATTCACTCTTGGAACCAACTCCGGGCGTCCAAAAGATGAGTAAATCTTCATGTTCTTACCATGGGCCCGGTATTTCATATTAACATGCCTTTGATGTAGTGCATCACAGGGGGGCATGGGCAGTTACAACCGCTGGGCCGAGCCAGCCAGTAGAGCACCTGGTGGCCTACAGCGATCATAGGGCACTCAATGCGGTGAAGATCTGCTGCCACTTTTTAGGAAAGTTTGGCACCCGCGATATGGAGAATGGCCAACAAGTCACGTCCCAATGGGGGCTCGTCCACCCGGGCTTCAAACCCCGGACGCTGTGACATCGGCATCCAATAGGGACATTACTTCGGACCTGGAAGAGTGAGGACAGGCACGGCCAGTGTCGAGCGTGTAGGGTGTTGTGTTGATGACAATGGACCATGTTACGATGTAGTTGGCAAAGAATATGGGAACCTGTGTTCGCCGTGAATGGTACAGACCCACCGAGAGTGAGCGCTTTAGCCATCCTTTGAGAGTCTTGAGAAAAACCTTAACGCGCCTATTACTCGTATGTTCCACCGGTGGTAACATAATGTCTGTCAGCGTTTTTGGCAGCCACATGGCGGTGAACACCTGGCTGCGCATTGGGCTGTCTTTATCTATGAATACCGCTGGACGTGGTTTCGTGGGCGGAGTTGTTCATCCCAGAACTGTATCAGGTGAGTCGATGTGTATTCGTCCAGTCGGTCACATGTGTCTTAGGCGCGCAGGGCGAAACCATTCAGAGCCGCCAAGACTTGGTTGAAACTTTTCTCGTCCACCGAGTTCAGAATGTAGGCCAAGTTGACCTCGTGGTATATTCAGGTAGGGCGGTCCGGCTGTCGCAGGAGTCCTCGCTTATGTTCAAGAGGTACGGATGCAGTTTCCACGCGTGTCCAAAATTTGCTGGCCAGTACATTCCAGAAGCACCTGACCTGGATCCGTTTTTGAAGGCCGTCAGCACTCAGCCAGTACTTGACTGTACCGCTCGTGGAGTCTCTATACGATCTCCAGGGCCGGAGGGCGGAAACCAGGACATCAGACCGTAACTGGAGGTGGTCCAGCGCCGAGTAGACATCGGGAGGTCGAGGGTGGTGAGGCGCCTTAGGGGGTGTAGGGGGTGGTGAGGTGCCTCAGGAGGTGGTGATGAGCTTTACTTCGCTGTCGTACGGCGGTTAGCCAACGGTATATTTGTCGAGAAATGGCGAGACACCGTATAGTCAATCTGCGGGGGTGAACGGATCACATCGCCGGCTAGGAGGGTGTTCACGTTCGGCGAGACCAGCAAGGGTTCATCCTCAACGCTGGCTGCATAAACTAGGTCGCCAGTGCCAAGGGTGCCAAAGGGTACTTCCTGAAACTCGTAAAATAGAGAGAGCGCCGGGAGGTCGTCTGTGCTTTGCAGCAGGTCGGATTCAAAGTCTAGAAGTGAGTAGCTCCTTTTTCCACCCGGATTACTGGCAGAGGCTATTTAAATTTTAGGATCCGTTAGTGATTTGTTCGTCTTTCCTAGCTACTTGAATCTCGTACGCCAATCTTGATAGTATTAACTTATCGTTTATCAAGTTACTTCTTGCTGACGTGCTTCAAGGGGTGAAGTACTTGAACTGAGAGATTACTGCTTAGTCAGCTGGCGAATACAGGTAGGCTTATATAGGTACAGTCTAGTTGATCCCAGAAGTCAGCAAGATAGCAGCAGGTGGTAGTACCCATGTACATGTGTATCTTAGCGTATGTGTGTGTGGGGGGGGAAGCATTTGTACTCTAGGAGGTACAGGTGCACCTGGGCCTGGGAAA